ACTACTATCAATCCAACTAAAAACATAATATGTGGTTTTTTATCATTGAGTTTTTTTTGTATATAAATGCCAATGGGCAATGCCATGATGACTAATAGCGGTAATAGTTTTTTCATGACTTTTCAGACATTTTTTTAATACAACGTCTATAATTTGTTGTGTCTACAAGCGGTGAATTAGGGCAGTCGGATGCATGATGAATGGGAAAAAAATTGATTTTGGATTGCATAATCATTTAGTTTTTGACATGACAAACTCTAGACAAAATATCTATATGAGTAATTGAATTGGTAGGTGCAACATGGTGCATATGCAAACAAGGAATAAGTGATCAAGAATTGCAAAAGACATTGGACTATGCGTGTGGGACAGGGGCAGATTGCAACCCCATAAAGCCAAATGGACAATGCTTCTACCCCAATACCGTTCTAGCTCATTGCAACTATGCCGTCAACAGTTATTTCCAGAAAAAGGCTCTCATTCCTGGCTCTTGTGACTTTGCTACCACTGCCTTTGTCACCACATCTAACCCAAGTATGCTCACCCCCACTCGAGAAAAAACTATCCTAAATTACTTTATTAGTCAGTTTGGTTCCCTCGACTATTGTGTCAGTGTAATTTTTGGTATTCTCGACTTTCAATTGCGCGATAGACATTTTTAATTCCCAACCTTAAAGTTTCTTACACTATGATTTTGACAATTTAAATCCTTACAAATTGTCAAATTTGTAATCCTTACACTATGATTTTGACATTTTTAATCCTTACATTTTTAATCCTCGGAGTATTATCAAATTGACAATTTAAATCCTTACACTATGATTTTGACATAATAAGTGGATGACTAAAAGTGTCACTATTATAATAGTTGAAGGATAAAAAATGAATCATTAAATATAAAATTTTCATAGATGAATATCAAAGATGTCGTGCACAATAGTGGGACTAAAAGGGCAAAAACTCCTACTTTGTTTCCTTTTTAATATTTTGCCTCTTTTTAAAATCATTTGTAGGTGTAGCTGGTTGTGCTTACCCTACAAGTGCAAGGTATGGTGGTCATATTTGCTAGGCCTCATTTTGGTAGTCAAGTCTTCTATGACTTGTCCGTAATTAGTACTTTCAACCGATTTAAGTTTCTTAGGCATAATTTTTGCAGCTAACTTAACTCTGTTATCGTTACTAATTAAATTTATCCGTATAATACTAGCTCCATTTGTATCAGCCTAGCTATAACTTGATTTGCGCAGAATTCCATATGAAGTACGGAGTAGTACTTTTTTTTATAAGGTGAAAGTTATTTTTATCATCATTACGTCGTTATAACCCGAAAAAGAAACGTTAAGATAGGATGAAGTAGTAGTGTACTTATTATTATTTTTTATTAAAGTGGATGTTGCCATAATAGCAATTAGCATGGTCCATTGGTCCATTCATTCTAATTTTTTGAATAATAGCATGGTTGTGATCTAGTTTCCCTTCGAGTAAATGAGTCGTTGCTTTTTCACATTTGAAGTGCTATTCAATAAGATTACTAAATAATCAAATGAGCTAAATATGCATATCTTTATATCTACATTCTACACCATGACTATGGAATATTTAGGGTGTGTCATTATGAAATCTAAAGTTGAAGCGGCTTTGGGTGGCCCCTCTAATCCTCTTTATTATTCTTTAGTGGGACTCAAATCGGAATAAAGGTTCATTAATAGATATTGCATTATTAGTTGCACAATAAGGCTTTCATTTTGTGGTTCCTTAAACCTTGGTATGACTTTAGTAGGCTATTTTGTATCCCGTTTCATCAGTCAAAGAGTGAAGAATGCCTTTGAGCTGAAAAGGTTTAAATGGTTATAATAAAGAAAAATGACATTCATACACGTTTTGTCTTACACTTTTTGTTGTTTTGTACACATAGGTCAGATCAAATCATAGACAATCGTTTTCTATGGAGTTTGATCACTGAAAAGATAAATCGAAAAAACTTGTAAATTGTTCACACACGCAACTAATGTTTGTGTATAAACATTTATTTACGTACCGCTCACATGGGTTTGTGTGTTGTATGTGCAATTTGCACAATTGTTAATGTTTAGTTGCAGGAAAACCAATGCTTATACCTGTCATATTATTTCCACAAAAGACAAGAAATGTTTGTAATCATCTTGTAGTTTTCCAACATATTTACCTTTTGTCTAATGTCAGTGTACACAGACATTGGTTGTCTGTGTAGACAAAAAAAAAAGTGTTGGTGTGAAAAAATTAGTTGGAAAACAAGTGTCGGTGTACATAGACGTTAGTTGTCTTGTAGAAAAATGTGTCTGTATATATACAATTTTTGTCTGTGTACACAAACATTAAATCAAACCAGTGTCGGTGTGCATAAAACGTAAAAAGAGAGAAGGAAAGAAAAAGAAAGCAGAAAGAAAGAAGAGAGGAGTGAGGGAGATCCGTATGGTCCAAATGGGAGAGAAAAGTTGGGAGGGGATATATAGGGTGTACACCGAAGATCCACCAAAAGAAAAATTCGTTGTTTTTATCATTCAAACAGTAAAAACACTACTCGTATTAGCTAGTGCAAAAGGTTTTGTTTGACTACTACGGTATTTTAAATGCACCATTTTTAGAGCAATACTACAGTATTTTAAATGCAGTATTTTTATAGCAATACTTGATGTATAATGAACGTTTAGGATAAAATTACGGATAATTTTTGCATCATTTGATGAAATGTATGGGACGTGTACACATGGCACTTTCTATGCGAATATGGAGTAAAGGGTCAGATTGGTCCTCAAAGTTGCATAAAAGGAGTCAAATAAGTCCTTATATAGGAGACTCTGTCCGACCGTCACCATTTGGGGCGGTTCCCGATGGAATTTTTTGATGAATTATTTTTTAGCATCTTATTCATTAAGTCTAGTTTACTCATATCAAATTTCAACTAAAACTTCAATCGGAAAGGCATTCAAATGAATTCTTGAAGATAACTACACGGTTAAAAACGCATATCTTCAAGAATTCATTTGTATGCCTTCCCGATTGACATTTTAGCTGAAATTCGGTATGAGTAAACTAAACTTAATAAATAAGATGTTCAAAAAAATTCATCAAAAAATTCCATCAAGAATCGCCCCAAATGGCGACGGCCGGAGAGTAAGGACTTATTTGACCCTTTTATGCAACTTTGAGAACCAATCTGACCTCTTACTCCTTTCTATGCTTTTAATCTTACTTTTCTTTTTTTCTCATGAATAGCAGTGGCATAAGCACGGGCACAACACCAGTGACAACTAATCCCACTACAAGACCACCACCAATCGGCATGCCATCAACCGCCACCGCCACCGGCGGTAACTCAATCTTCACACCTCCTACCACGGGTGGTGTCCTCGGAGTAGGTATCAACACCCCTACACCTGCTGCCGGTATGAACAGTGACGTGAGCCACGGTGGGGTTTCTCTCCAATGCACATTAGTACTTCCCTTTCTCACCGCACTCATAACCTATTTAGTAGTGGCATCACATTTGTTGCAATGATTCAATTATTACTAGTACTGTATCTATATTTTGAGGTAGTGCTCACATTATTGTGACAATGAAAGTTTCAGAATTCTGTTTTGGTTTTGTTAACTTTCCATTGTCCAAGTGTTATAATGGTCACACTTTTGAAGTTTTGATACTCATTTTTTAACTTTTACTTTTTTGATCATCTAACCATCGTGAGAGTGACAATTTTGTTACTCATATTTAGACTTTGGCACAATGATTGGAGGATGTACTAATCAGTAGTTTTGTGCAAAATTTTGTGAACTAGATTAATGGGGTAAAAATCTGCATTTTTTATTGGTGGATGCGTCTGCCTCCTAATTGTGTCACTACTTTAGGGTGTTTGAATCTGATTCTAAAACTCCTTCAGAGAGCAGAAGCAAAAGTTGGAGTATTTGGGTGAAAGTGCAGAAGTGATTCTGATGCTCTAATTTACTCCTAAAAAGTTGCTTCTGCTTCTAAATAAGTTGATTCTAGTGATTCTAATTTTTATTTTGCTTTTGCTTTAAAAAAAGAAGCAGAAGCAGTTCCAAACACCCTCTTAATACTTGAAAGTTGAAGGATATAATGGAGTTCCACTAGCATTTACTCATTTAGTATATGATTTTAAGTGATCTTTTTATTTTCCAAAACTTTGCTCCAGTCCGAGGCTAGTTAATGCGCATCTAACTAAAGCATGAGGAGAAATTGAAATTAGTCGTCTTAAAAAACGAGAATAACAGACCCAGTTGAAAGGCCAAAACAATGTTAGAATGGTTTCGGTTGTTTGGTTCGAATTTCCATACTTAGGGTACTTTGAGAACCGAGATACTATAAGTCAACTAGTCAAGTATATGAAAATGTGACATTACAGCAATGTAATAATGACATGAAAACTAGTCACATTCTCCTGAAAATCTTAGTGACAAAATTGAGTGGTTTAATGCACCAAACCCCTCCTGATATAGAAATTCAGCGCATTAACCCATTGTGATAATTAATCATGCACAAAACCCCTTTTATGAATAAATTTAACGACTTGGAAATCACTTTTCCTAATATTCTGATTGAATATGCAAGTAAATATGTCAAAATCTCTAAATCAGACAAAAATGTTAATCATTTTTTTTAATTTGACAAACGAATTTGTTCATAGAAGGGATTTTGCGCATAATTAAATAAAACACAAGGGGGTTTGACACATTTTTTAAATCACAGAGGGCTAATGTGTCGAATTTCCATATCACATGGGAGTTTGGTGCATTAAACCCCAAAATTAAGCAAGTAATAATCTCATTCCAAATAAACAAAAACTATTTGAAACAATTATTTACTTTCAAAAAATCCAAAAAAATAAAAAACATCAAATAGAAGTAGCGAGTTACAATGATATTTAGTTAAGCCAACAAATAAAATCAAAACATATATTTTTCTTAATTTATAACCTTAATTAACCAAAATTAGAATGGTATCATGATCACAATAACCCTTTCCGGATAGAGTTCCATATTAGTATACCGCACTGTTCAATGTAACATCCATTCGCGCACTTTTTCACATTACGTTCCAGGAAGTAATCATATTATTTACGTAGATCTTGCATTCTGTTTTCCAAAAAGACCATTAGCATAAAATATCATTTCTCAACTCAAGAGTGATCTAGATGTTTGAGCTGAAATAATATGCTTTAATCTCCTACAATACCGGGTCAATGCCTTGGCATAAGATGTCGGTCAGAACAGTCTTAACATATATTGACAAAAGTACCCATCATGAGAATAGCAGCAGAGTATGAAGTGGAGGATAGAGTGTTTTAGGAGACCTCTTGTAATGAAGAATCTTTTTTGTCAATCGACATACTACTATTACTCCCAGTCAGTTTGTTGCTGTTGTCCAGCCTTTCATTAAATGTCTCTCTCAGCAATTCGACAGCCATGAAGGTTAGTGCTGATGCCGGGATGTACCATGTAATTCTAGGAATGCTACCTCTGAACATCCCCCTCAAACCCTCAGTCACCCATATCTTATGAACGGCATCGGACCAACCACTATACCTGGAGATCATACCATTTGAATATATGGTCAATTGGTACCTTGGCAGTCATCGCAATTCCCAACGCTTAGCAAGTTATAATGCATGGAGAAAAATAATAGTGTATCTATCCCAAAAATGATGTTGGCCCAAAACTCTTCTCGTTTCACTCTCTGCAGCTTCTCAATGCTTTGTTTGGTTGAGCAAAGATATAAGAGAGGCATAGAATAATAAGAGAGATGTAAATAACACTCTTCTATTTCTTCTCATATTAGGAGAGATTTTATAAGGTGTGTCCTACCTCCTACACTAAATTCAGTCCTAAACCAAATTAGAGAAGTTGATCATTTCTCTTCTATAGTTCTATTTCTTGCCTCTGATTCTTTCTTTCCAATCTTTACTAAGTGAATAAAACATATACAAAAAAACACAAATCCATTGTTTTCTTCCTGAAATAGGACTCAGTCACCCCTAGAGTTAGGGGAGTTTTATATTAATAGGATCAAATAAGTACTATTTTGGGAATATCTATGTTTTAGTCCTATTTAAAGCAATTGTTTATAAATAAATAAAACTTTCTTTCCCATTTATACTCCACTAAACAAAGCAACACGTGAATATTAACCCTCAAGGTTGTCGGAATATCCATTTAGATTCCACTATACAAAGGCTAAACGTGAATTTTGACCCCCAAAACGTGATATCCACTTTCACATAGTTCCTAACTTGAGATGTTAATGTCTTGGCAAGTTGCCAACAATATTCTGCAACTTGGTGTCCCAAAATATGACAACGATAGCGCTAATAGGTCTGAAACTGCGAAATACCAAGGGTGTTTTCACCCCAAGAGTTTAGGAGAGTAGCTTAAGTTTATGTTTGAAGCTTGGTAAATACTCTGTATAAAGGAAAGAAAACGACAGTTTTTCCCCTGTTCAGTTTTACCTTAGCAATTTGGAAGATAAATTAAATAGGGAAAAGGGGCAAATAAGGCCACGTACTAACAAAAAAAGGTCAAATAAGACCTTATTTAGGAGGCTTTGTCCAGTCGTCGCTATTTGGGATGGTTCCCGGTGGAATTTTTTGATGAAATTTTTTGAGCATTTTATTCATTAAGTCTAGTTTACTCATACGAAATTTCAGCTAACAATTCAATCGGGAAGTCATTCAAATGAATTCTTGAAGATAACAGCGCTTTTAAATGTGCAGTTATCTTCAAGAATTCATTTGAATGTCTTCCCGATAGTCATGGACCCAGTTCGGGCCGCCCGGCCCGGGACAGACCCGGCCCGCCACTGTGCGGGCCCGGAACCGGCCCGGTTCTCGGGTCCGGGTCCGGGTCGGGCCTAGGCTTGGTGGGGGGCGGGTCCGGGCTCGGGCCTTGTATTTGGCGAACCGGCCCGGCCGGGTCGGGCCCGGGCCAAAAACTGTTTTTTTTTATTTTTTCATTTTTTGGGCTTTATTGAGTTGGGCTTGATGTTTAGGACCGGTTTGGGGGGTTTGGGGGGGGGGGAGAAAAGAAAAAAAAAACTAACCGGGTGGCCCGGCCCGGTCCGGCCCGGAACCAGTGGCCACCGGTTCGGGCTCGGGCCCAACAAAACAGATCCGAGGCCCGGCCGGGCCTAGGCCCGAACCGGCCCGGGGCCATCCCTACTTCCCGATTGAAGTTTTAGCTGAAATTTGGTCTGAGTAAACTAGACTTAATGAATAAGATGCTCAAAACATTTCATAAAAAAATTCCACCGGGAACTACCTCAAATGGCGATGGCCAGACAAAGCCTCCTAAATAAGGCCTTATTTGACCTTTTTTGGTTAGTACATGACCTTATTTGCCCTTTTTCTCAATTAAATATGAATACAGACTATAAATGTTTCATTTTTAGGTAACTTTAAATTTCCTAGCCTACAAACAAACAATAAATGAATAAATAAATGAATTCATAAATGAATAAATAAATGAAGTTATTTGACTTTCAGCTAATTTTTGTTTCCTTTGCTTTAAACTTTCCTCTAGGTTTTCCTTCTATTTAAAAAAACATAGGCTAAAGGGTCAAATAGGCCCTTGAACTAACTTAATGTGTTCAACTAGCCCCTTATATAGAAGGTTCTGCCCGGCCGTCGCCAAATGGGGCGGTTCCCAGTGAAATTTTTTGATGAAATTTTTTGATAATCTTCTTCATTAAGTTTAGTTTACCCATATCAAATTTCAGCTAAAAATTCAACCGGGAAGGCAGTCAAATGATTTTCCGAAATGTACTGTGTTGTTTAACTGTGCAGTTATCTTTAAAAATTTATTTGTTTGTCTTCCCGGTTGAATTTTTAGCTGCAATTTGGTATGGGTAAACTAGACTTAATGAAGAAGATTATCAAAAAATTTCATCAAAAAATTCAACTGGGAAACGCCCCAGTTGGCGGCGGCCCGGCAGAACCTCCTATGTAAGGGGCTAATTGAACACTTTAAGTTAGTTCAAGGGCCTATTTGACCCTTTAGCCAAAAACATATTACCAATTTATAAACGGAGACAATTGTTTTCATCCAAATATTTAAAAAATGATATACGTTTGTGATTTGCCTACTTCTAGAGTTCCATCTGAAGCATATTTGAGGGTCCATGAAAGAGGGCCTTGGGGAGGAATTAAATCAAGGAGCGCAATGAGCCAATGATTGCAGGAAATAGGAATACCTTAATATTTTCCCCTGTACTTGTAATCTTGTTTTAACAACATCAAAGGGTGTGGTTAGATATGCACTTAAACCTGTAATGTAAAGTGAAATCAGAATGAAACATCTGTTGCATGGCACTACATAAACAATATACAGCACATAAGTGTACATTTGGCAGCAACACCAAGAGATGCTTACCCCCAGCTAGTCCTCCCAACAAGAGCCCCTCTACAGAGCTATTCAATTGAAGATTTGAGTTGGGAAACCATTTTTGTTTCCCGTACTCTGTCATATTTTTAAAGGCCTCATAGAAAGTAACCTGTAGGTGAGAATTAACAGTTCAAACAGAAGATAATCAAGAATTCAAGATACAACAACAACATCCAAACCTTAATCCCAATAGATTTGGGGTCGGCTAACATGAATCGATCCATGATATCGAGATATGGAAGTAAATTTCATTAATTAGCTCTAATATAAATATAAATAGGGTGACAAGAAGCTGGACCATTACAATAATCATGCCTTCTTTGGGCGAAATAAGGCCACTAATAGGCTGTGTACAATACTTGGTAAATACAATGAAAAATACATTCTGCCTGGACAAAGTCCGGACGAGGCGGTCCATGGACGACGCGGTCCATGGACGATGCGGTCCATGGACGATGCGGTCCATGGACGATGCGGATTCTGGGCTCCATCCAAAGAATCCGGGTGATATCTTCTTCTGTGAACGTCGCGTGCCTTTGGCCGATGCGGGTATCTTGCTGGTGTCTTTTGGGCCAACGAGTATGTGGGCCATGGGGTCCAGGCCCATATACTCTATCAGTATACAATAACATATATTAGCCCGCAGGTTTCATACTTTCATTAGCACATATTTTCAGTACATCTGATGTACTGAAAATAGGCACACCTCACTAAACGCCCTATTGGGTATGCAATATGTGTACGCCTAAGCTGCAATTGCGCAAGTTTCTATATTGCTTAAATCGGGATACGCCTCCCATCCTACATAGGCAAAAAAATGCCAAGGTGCGCATTGAGGCGGTAAGGCATTGAGCAATTTAAAACAATGGTACATTAGGGCTTCATGGCTTCACTCCATTATGCTACTCAGGATCCTGTTTACTTGCGTCTTCCCTAAATCCTTTCTTCTTTCTACTGTTCTTCATGCCTTCACTCCATTGTGCTTCAGAATCTTAACAGATCTATGAACACGGTTCTCTCTTGCCAAACTTAACAGATTCTTTGATGTCTCATTATTTTGAATAACTCATTGGGTTCTCCTAATCTTTTAGGCTTTGCTGAATACACATGTAGCCTTTGTTTCTTGTTTTTAGTTCTAAGATAATTGATTTTGTTATTCATTTGGGTAAATCTTATGATTTTTTTAATAAATATGTTTTTACACTCTCACGTCATACATCTAATTATATTTGGATCTTCTTGTCTACTCTGTATATATTATCGCTACATATATATATAGTATATAGAACTCACAAAAATTAAGAATAATGCATAGAACCTTTTCCTCATGCATTTACACCATTCGAATAAAACATTTTGTGCATTGGTGTATCTGTATAAAGCTGATTCTAGGATCTGTTTGGGCTAATCTATCTTCGGTTATGTTTGGCTATACGGTCACCGATCAAAATCAAGTAGCGGTCATTTGGTTGGTTATAGTGATAATGTTGGTCGGTTTTGGTCAGTCATTGAAGGCTTGGAGCTCTAATTTTTGTCAGCTATTCAGTTATCGCTTGATTATTTAACCGAACAGCTGAATGCTCAGCTCTACAGTTAGGTGGACATTTGCTGCTGGTCAACCTTACCCATTAGTCAGTTTTTTCACCAAGCAATGCTGAAGTTACTTTGTGGTTAAGAATCTTAAGATGGCTGACTTTAAACTTCAACTTTCATTTTAGATATTATTATTTTCTTTATATGTAATTTGCATATCCAGCCACAACTACAGGGGTGCAGCCATTTTAGGCCTTACCGGGGCTCTAATGCTTCTATTTCCCTTCTCTGACAATCCAAATGCATCACTCTTGGCCAAATTCATTAGCCGTGAGTTCTTACTTACATGAGTTACATCTACGCTAGAAGACTACACTGCACAGGGAAATAAATGCAGTTTCTACTTCACAGGTATGTTTTGCATCAGGCCTCATCAGAAGATATACAACATGTTTGTTACATAACTAAAAAGGAATAAAAATGGATTAATCATATACACTTAGAGCAGTAGAGTTGTACCATTAAGCCAGCAAAGGGCACATCTCTAGCAAGTGTGGACCAGTATCTGCAAAAGTAAGCGCAAGGAAATTTACACCCACATACAGAATCAACTTCTGAATTAATTTTGTATTCACACTTTCACCCTTTGCTATCTAACATGTTCAGAAGAGCAGCCAAATAGATAAGTAAATAAAAGCAATACCCTGCATATAAACCCTTTGGCCCCTGTTCCCTCCAAATAGAGCAGCCAGCTTGAAACATTCCTGAATAGTAACCATATGTGTTCAGGCCGTGTTCCATATGGGCACCATCCTTTAACAAAACAGAAGTCCAATACTTTCTTGTGCCTTGGACCTGCATGCGTTGCTTTATCACTTCACACGGGACATATACAAATGAGCCTAATGTATCACCTAAACAAAGGAATATTAAATGCTTTACTTTTGAGTTCAACGGCATGAAAGAAATCCAATAAACGTGTGTATGACTAATGACCATCCAAACCAAAGTGAGAGGGAAAAGAATAGATAGAAAGGTTTACCTATAGCTCCAGCAATGAAATATGCCCAATGGCCACTAAGACTCGGATGAGTATGTTCAATCCACTTCTTTGTTGACTCTATGACCCCAAAATAAGTAGCTCCAGTCGCCAAAGACCCAGTGATCCCTGGTGCTACTCCTCGATAAAATCCTGCCATGAAAATCAACCAAATGCTATAACGAACATTGGATGATTGAGCATCATTGGAATTGTCCAGAGAAAACAACGAGAGGGAATGGAGTACCAGCTAAACTATCTGTAGTCCAGACAGTTTGGATCATTTGTAACACGCTTTTCTGGTTCTGGAAATAGCGAAGTGTGACACATTACGTTAGGATTGAATCCATCAGCATTTCTTGTTAAAGCATCTCAATCAATCATAGGAGTAAAGCTCAGCAAGTGACGACCAAATGCAACTAAAAAAATCAATCAGAAATGAATCATTCTGCATTCATACCCGAGATCCACCAAGAATGGCCTGGCTTTGAATGCGAGTTTTGATAGTATCAATCGGGTGCATCATTCCTTCCCCAAAAGCTCCGGCAATTGCACCCCATACGAACTCCCTCCAAACTGGAAATGAACACACACATAACTAACGAAAAAGGAATTCGAGCACTGCGCTAGCGTATTTTACCTCAAATAAGCTAAAATATAAACGCCAGAGCTAAATCGTCGACTGTACAATTGGTGTACGGAAACGAACCAACGGCATATATAAACATTGGCAACACTGCTTACCGAAAAACTGGTTGTTGGGTATATTGTTGAGATGAGCTGTCAACACTTTTGATGAATCCACGGGAGTTGGATCGGATGACGCCATTGATGATCTGTGGTTCTGAGAGGAGACGTACGGTTTTGGAGAGGTTTAGTCACTGTTGTGTTTTTATGGAAGAGTGTACTCTCCACTCTCTAGCAAAACAGATTAGGGCAGTAACCACGCGGGGAAGTCCACTCTAGAGTCAAACGAAGTGTATAACCTCTCTATCGGACCTGCTCCATCTCCCGTGACCGGATTCTGAGTCAAACCGACCGATCTGGTCTGATTCTTAAACATAACGTCTACAGTGTAATCTAGCAAGGTTGGCTACCGGGTGGACCTAAGAAATTTATCTTGAGGGTTCAAAATATTTATTGGGGCAAAAATTATTTTTTTAGAAGATGAAAATTATTTTTTGAGTCTCTACTACCCAAGATCTGGCGCAAATTATACTGTACGACCGGCATATCATGCTCATGGTATGCCGGTCCAAATACGCTATCGTTTTTATAAAATAAACAAGAAACCCTCTTCTTTAGTTAGCCGTATTCGCTTCGTCATTTTTTTTCTCCACCACCGTTTCTCCATCACTGCTTCGTCTCTATACCATGTCATGTTTCTCCATCTAAGTCTTAATCTCTATTCTCTATATCGTGTAGTGCATATGGGTCTGCCACAATTGCATTGGTCAAATAAACCATCAAAACAAATGATTATCCATCCACTCAGAACAAAATCCACTCAAAACAAAATTCATCCATGAAAAATAACATAAATTGATTTATTGGTCAAATAAGCACATCCATATGCAAAAACGATTTTTCTTAAAAATATTTTTATATCCTTAATGTTAAAAACAAAACATATTATATGTTTTTGAACAATTAAACTTGTTTTTATTATTTACATATGATATTATACGAAGTTACATCTTCTTATACGTAAGTTACATTTGTTTATGTATGGGTTACATCTCAATGCACGCAAGTTACACCACAAAATAAACCCCTCCTAATGATCAAAAAATAATTTTTTTAACTATATCATTTTTTGTAGACCTAATATTAAAAAAAACATATTCACTATTCACCAATAAATAATTGGGCAATTAAGATCAACTTTTTATTGTTTACATTGAAATCAATGTTTATAACATATATATAAGATAGTTTACATTTCAACTTTTCTAGATTTACATTTTAATGTACGCGAGTTACATTTTATTGTACTCGAGTTACATCTTAATGCACGTGAGTTACACCATTAAATTCACCATGCGAATGATCAATTTTTTTTTAACTAAATCAATTTTTATAGACCTAATGTTAAAAATTCAAAACATATTCACTATTTATGAAGAGTAATTGGGCAATCAGGATCAATTTTTCATTGTTTACCTTGAAATCAGTGTTCTTTTCCTTACATTCCGTTTTAGACAACTTACATATCAACTTGACTCAAGTTACATTTCCTATCAACGTGAGTTACATTTTTGTAAACGGGAGTTACATCACCCTGCTACTGAAACACAAAAAAAAGTTATTGTTCATCCGCGGGTACTGTTCATCCGAATTTTACTCCTGAGAGCATGATGCTCATTGTGCGTCGGTACCACGGTATACGAACTGAGATCTGGTCATTTTTTGTTTGTATTGGGTATTGAGTTTGGATCGATGCGGTGATATACTACCAAAATACTACTATATCACTCCCTATTAGCTACTTTGCATTCATAGTTGGTAGTTTGGACTTTAAATTTGTTATATTGTGCTATGCGGTCTTTTTTTCTTCCTTTAATTTTGAGGATGTTTTCTTTTGGACGGTTTTCAGTCCCAGATCAGACCAGACTTCCGTAGTTATAATATACACAGAGACCAGCCGTTTACAAGACTAGCCCAGACCAGACCAGATCATACTAGATTAGACCAGACCAGACCAGACCAGCTAATTTAATATTTTAGGTGGGGAAAAATACTGAAATTTCGGTATACCGGACTTACCATATCGAAAAATATCGAATTTACCAAAGTGTTTGGTATACCGACACTTTTGGTACGGTATGATACCATACCGAATTACTTCGGTATGGTATCGGTATATATTTTGGAAATTAACGGTATACCGTTATACCGTCATACCGTAGTTCCAAGCCAATAAATTCTTTAAAATTATAAAAATAACTAGAAACACAACATTAATTCAAGGATAATGACTTTATATCCATGTTTCTTGAATTATTTATACTTCTTGTTGGAGATCGATGTTATTTCAAATATATTTTTGTTGTTTTAATTATTATTTTAGCAGAATGTGTTGTTATCTTCATATATCATGTGTTGAAGTATCCGTACATATTTATAATATTTTTTTGTTCAAAGTTGAATAGAACACAAATAGGTTATCACTGGTATTTTATAATTAATTTCATTAATAATTTTAGTATATCACTATTAACACTGATTTTCTATATTTCATTTGATATATAATAATTTGATATTAAATCGTGATAATTTACTGATACCGTAGCTTACCGTACCAAAATTTTGGTATACCGAAACAAGGTATACCGAAATTTAGGTATGGTAACGGTATGTATTTTTGCATACCGAAAGATTACGGTATGGTAAAGGTATGAGATAAAATTTTCGGTATACCGTACCGAACCACTCCTAATTATACACTCCTTTAAGTGATATCATCAATAGTGATTATGGAATTTCAGTATAAATATATACAAAATTAACATTTAAACGTAATATATACAAGTTTTAATTGTTACTTTCTAAATTTTGTTGAGATTGATTTAATGTAGAAATTAGGGATATTTTGATTATGAATCATGTTTTTCGGGTGATATTGGACTTTGTAGCCCATTTTCAAAAATCTTAGACTTTGCACCCTATTTCCTCTAAAATGTCTTTGTCTTTGCACCTCATTCATTAATTTTTCTTCACAAAATGTTGTTCATAGAGTAACTATTTATAAATATCATATGTAGGTATTATAAATAACTAATACTAAATTGTACGTAATATATGCAAAAGAATGTCATGATTGAATATATTTGATTAACAATGTTAGCTCATGTCTTATGATGTCGTAATTTATTGAATTAATTAAGTTTTATTTATTAAAGTTACTTTATTTTTAAAAATTGTTTTTGGGAAGTACATTCAAAGAGTAAAATAATATCTCGTGCATCGCACGGGTCAGTTGGTATACCATGCAACCTGCCCACAATCAGTTGGTATTGAAATCGTGCTCCTGCCCTCAAAACTACGCCGTTTAACCATGCTGATCCCACGTGTAAAAAATCGTGTGTTACTGTTCACGCGCGTGAACAGTAACCCCTGTTTTTGTTTTTTCATTGTCCAGGCCAGAATGATGTAACTCGTGTGTAATGAAATGTAACTCTCGTTGATAGACAATGTAACTTAAATCCCGTTGAAATGTAAGTGTCCAAAATGGAATGTAAGATGTAAGACATTGATTTCAATGTAAATAATGAAAAAAATGAGTCTAATTGTTCAATTATTTTACGTAACTAGTGAATATGTGTTAGTTTTAATATTAGAACCATTAAAATTGATTTTAAGAAAATTATTATTGTTTGTGTCAATAAAGAGTTTATTTTGTGATGTAACTCACATTATAGCAAATGTAACTCTCATTTATAGAAAATGTAATTCATGTGTATGTAAAGTGTAACTTGCTGAAACAAGTTTAAATGTAACTCACTGATACAAAAATGGAAATCGTGCATAAAAATTATGTAACTCCATGTGTTTTGATATGTAACTAGATAAGTTAAAATAAATTTTGTGATTAGATTAAAGTGGGGGTTTTGCCAGAATTTAAAGTTGGCCTGTAAAATGGATGACCCATTGTTTTGCCAGTTGATTTTTGGAGTAGTTTCCATCCATTAATTGGTGATGAGTTGAGATGATCGTTTCAGTGGACTATTTGATCAGAAAATCCTTCAAAGAAATCTGCTAGCTAAAACAGATGGTCTTGTTGCGGCTAGAACAGAGAAAGAGGCAAGCCGTCAGTGCAAGCGGCGGCGGGTAAACAAAATTTGGCCCTATCCTCTACCTCGCACATGGCTATGGGCCTATGGCAACACTGATTAGTGAAAATTAGTACCCAACCACCTCTTCTCCATGGAGGCTCCCTGATATGAGCCATGTAGCTTCTCCATGAACGGCGGCACAGTCCTGTTGATAGTGGCAGATGCGATTGTGGGTGAAGAAAGAGACTGTCTCCTTGAAAATAGTAAAAGCTGGCTGTTGATTTGAAAATAGTTAGGTCTGAGGCGATCAATCCACATTTCTTACGTTTGGAACGACACCGTATAGGTACCGGTATACCATGCGCATGGTATACCGGTCCTACGGTATAATTTGCCCGCACAGGTACTATACTAGTTCTTTCAAAGGTATGGAGTATCAATTTGTACGTGCACAATATATCTTTCCAGGGTTTAATGCACCAAACCCCCCTGTGATTTGTAAATTCGGCGCATTAGCCCCCTGTGATTTAAAAAATGCGTCAAACTCCCTTGTGTTTTAATTAATCATGCGCCAAATCCTTTATGTGAACAAATTCAATTGTGAAATAAAAGAAAAATGATTAACATTTTTGTATGATTCAGAAATTTTGACATATTTATTTGCATATTCAATCAAAATATTAGGAAAAGTGATTTTCAAATCGTTAAATTTATTCATAAAGGGGGTTCTGTGCATGATTAATTAAAACACAAGGGGGTTTGATGCATTTTTTAAATCACAGGGGGCTAATGCGCCGAATTTCCAAATCACGGGGGGGTTTGGTGCATTTAACCCTATCTTTCCATAGTGTTATCCATAAATGATACCATGCATGTAAACGCTACAACGATTCAATCATGTCATAAATAAAAACATTCCATAATTAATATTTGCTCATATTTATGGAATGCACAATATTCCTATATATCATGTGTATAAAGCTCCATAACATTTTACAACTATAATACCACAAATAAATTCGGAATCCCTACTAAAAAAATTTGAGTAGGATTTCACATTTTCTAAATTTTATTTCTTACTCCCTCCGTCCCACTATAATTGTCCCATTTTACCTTTTCGGTCCGTCCCACTAAGATTGTCTCATGCTTTATTTGGTAAAATTTGTGTGGTTCTAAATC